GATTCTAATTAGAAAACCCAAAATCCTCCCGATATTTTTTTTAATCATCATTTTGCATTAGAATTTTGTTTTTTCTATTTTCTTATTCTGCGCTGAATACAATACCTGATGTAAAAGTGGGATTTCCTGTTTAATTTCGTAAAGGTTACAACAGACCAGTGTTACTGGTTTTCATTGACCGAAAAAAGTGCTATTTTCTGTTACATTTCTATTTTGATTCTAAATAGAGAACTTATATTTAGGACAGTAATAGGAATCCCAATTGGTATCATGATCAAGTCAAACCTATTTTGGAACTAATTTGGAAATTCTATTCCAATTCTATGCCTGATAAAATTCTGAGAAATTGTCACGCGAGTCCCATTATTGACGCAGTTTGCAAATGCAAGTAGTGTCACAGACGCATCGAAACCGTTAACTCCATCGCCGTAAATTCTGAAAGTTGGATTTACTACAGCATATAACGAGTTTTTACGTTACACATTTCCCAATAAAATCTTATGTTTACTAGTCAAAATCAATGAGATATAAGACGAAGCAGTAAAGTTAGAGTGTTCCCACTGCTAATCGGTGAATATACTCACTGAGATTTTCAGCGAGACACTCTTTTCACTGATCTAATCAGATACATGTTGACTGATTCATTTAAGAGGGTGCTTTAGTCGAGCCGGCGCGACCGTATGAAGAGAAATAGTCGCGCGTTAGACGAGCGCGACATTTGAGCCCGGCTCGACGGCTAAATTTCTCGCGACTTGCGCGTCAATGCCAAGCATAGCAGAGCAAAGGACTCGAGTGAGACACATTATTTCGAGAAAATCAACGTAATAATCGCGCCTGTCACGGGCATGTCGCGCGAGCCACGCTGGCATAAGGAAGCTTTCTGATATACGTATATGTACGGGGGTCAAATGGCCGACGCGAAGAGCGTATTTTCGCGGAGCATTTCGCAGGGGAGCAAAGCTGGGGCTGATATATGCTCGAGCCTTACCCCTGAAAATCCACGACGGCCGGCGTTCCTTCGCACAATTGGAAGATTTTCGAACGGCCCGATCCATGACAGGCGTCGTTTTTTACCCTTGCTACTTCAGATAAGAGTATTCGCGCATTTTCGGAGGTAGCGAAAAAAGAGAGAGAGGCTGACACAGAGAGAGAGTGAGAGAGAGAGAGAGAGAGAGAGAGAGAGAGAAAGAGGGAAACGGACGATACACGAGGTCGATAATCCCACGGAAGGGTGATGCAGAGTGAAAAGGGGAGGAGGGGATATTCCCGAGCCAACGCCACGGCCGCGTATTAATCGCGAAAAAAAGCGCCGCACGGGTCCGTTCGCCGGACGCGAACGCGAAAGCGACGAATGCCATTTACATAGGCAATTCGCGGCGCGTAATTGTAAACGCATATCCGCGCCAGATGGTCCGTGATTTTATCTTGGAAAGCCAGGGAAAAAGCTCGTCGTCCGGCGTGCGCGAAATTCATGGCGCGACATTTATAGCGGCGCACGAGCGCGTGAGCGCGCGGCCGACTCTCTGCCGCGGCAAGATAAAATTTCGTGAGAAGCGCGCGCGCAGGTAATATTTCCTTCGCAAATTTATCTGCCGTTATTCAAGCGCGATGAAAATAAACGTCACTCTCCGCGGACCAGAGTGGCGTGGCGCAACGCGGCGTTCAACGGCGCGATCGAGAAAACGACAATAAATACGAGCGATGGCCGAGAAATGACCGGCGCTGCTCTGCCGAACGAATAATTTCATGAAAGTACGCACATATTTTTAATTCGCGCGATTTCGTATGCGCATTAACCACGCCGCTCATTCCAACGCCGGAAGACCACCGTGAGCAGGACACGCACTTGCGCAGAGCACACCGTCCGTCGTTCGTATTTATGGAGTCAGTCGACGCAAAATGACCGAGTATATCACTATGAATATCGCGCGCAGCGCAGCCGCAAATTCACGCCCGCGTGCTTCGTGCAACGAAATTTCTTTTCGACCAGTTTGGACTTCGTTTCTCTTACTCTTTCTCTCCCCCTTCCCCCCCCTCTCTCTCTCTCTCTCTCTCTCTCTTTCTCCACTCTTCCTTCCCTCTCTTTGTTTTTCTTACGGAAAAAAATGTCGACGTACATATATCGACAGTTAAACAACGCTGAAAATATTTTCGAACTCGCAAGGCGACCGAAATGATAAATCAAGCTGATTCTAACGTATCGACATAGTAACGAGGGACTACGTGTATTCTTGCTACCTTGTACCTAAATTAGTAAAGTTCAATGAGCAGCAAAGAAAAGGATGAAGAAATATCCGACAGACTTGAGAGCATTTTTATTATTAGTAAAGTTCTTAACCTAATTTATCCCTTCGTCGTGTATGCCTTACTCTTTCAACGTTGATTTTAATTAATGAGTTTCACCCTCGATCGTTATTCTCAAGTTCAACATTGGTAGATCAGGCTGTGAACGATCGATGAGCCTTCGAGAGAGGTTGCGAGGTGAAACGCTGCGCGAACCCGTCGGCGCATCTTTTACCGAAGAGCATCGAGATGAGGAACGAATGATAACGCCTGGCAATAGAGAAATTAGCACGTTCGATTCGATCAATTAAAAAATATCGCCGTAGCTCGGTACGATCAGACGATTGAAGCGGCCAGCCAGGACTCACTTTGTCTCTCCAGCCGCGGGCTATAACAATTACGTTATTACGCGTCACGACTTTATCGCAGACGGACACGCCGCGCTTGATAACGGATTTTTCAAGACAGTTAAATGCTCGGAGATTTAATTAACTGAACTAATTCTCGTTCCCTATCCGCAGTTCTTTTGTGCCGGGAATGACCCTGCCTCGCCGTCCGCGAGACAACAAGAGCATCAGCGCTTGTCAATTTCCTTCATTGTCATGCAAAAGCACACAAGGTCTCGCCGCCATTATAACGCGTCGTCCATAGAATATACCGTTTTATTAATGCGATTATACACCCCCGCGCGACAATGGTGGACGCGTGTACAGCGCGTACAGCGAGACGAGCTTCGCACTCCCGTCCTCACCCCCTCCTCTCTCTCTCTCTCTCTCTCTCTCTCATTCTCTCTGGCGCGTGTATCTCTTTGAAAACAGAAAAAAAACCGAGGGAAGCCAGCGAGGGAGTACGGCGAAAGCAGCGAGGCGTTTCATGACGTTTCATAACCGCGACGTATATACAGGCAGGAGGCGCTCGCGCGTCGGCTATAGCGTAAAAGCGTTTCAAAAAAATACCATCAGCCGCGACGTCCGACTGTATATTTATTCGCGGTAACGTTTTTTACCTCGACGCTCGTAGCGCGCGTACCGTGGCGCATCTCGAGGACGTGTGCGGCCAGGACGCTGTTCGCGAGTGAGTCAAGAAAGTTCGCGACGAGACGGCTGGCGCTCCAAGTTGGCAGCAGGAACGATACGCTTCTCAAACTCGCATAATGCTTTTTTATGCGCGCGGCACGCCCCACCGAGACGAGAGACCATTGTCCTGCAGCGAACTTTTCTACTGGCTCCAAGTTTGTCGCACATCCACCACATCCGTTATAGCACACTAAAATTGTATGCTCATTTGTGTGTGTGTGTGTGTGTGTGTGTGTGTGTGTATGTACATGTGTATGAATATATGTCGATGACAATCGATAATACTTGAGACAGAGAGGCGGTTTCTCAAATGGATGCGTACGAAAAAAGGATCGCGTATTATTTCTCGGAGCGTGATCGAAAGATAAACTCGGTGAGGAAGAGAAACGAACGGCTCCCCGCGACGATGTAATTCGGTCCACGTGCCTATCGCACGTTACTATTATTTGAACGAAATTGCACAAAAGAAACCGAAATTCACGGAGAAAATTTCCGCGACACGCGCAATTAAGATTTTTAATTAAAATTATAATTGTAATTTCGGTCATGTTTCGGGAGCACGGTATAATCTCTCCTCGTTCGCGTATATCTCGGTGTTGAGGAGATTCTTGAATCGATATAACATTTCCGCTTTTCTTTTAATTATCCTTCTCTCGCGCTTGCTACAGTATCGTGACAGCTCTGAAATAACATACACATATTTCAGACTTATCTAACATTGCCAGTGTAGATTTCGTATGGCGATTTAACGACGGATGATTTAATACCGATGACCTAAATCGAAATAACAACTTGAGAGACTTGTGGATGCTAACGATCTCATTGTTCCAAATATGCGAAATAAAGAATCTTCATTCCGGATTTTTCGCTCGAGATTTCTTCTCCGCTCGCTCATAATATTTTATTCGTATGTCAAATAAAGTAAATGTCCCAATTGGTAATAATGTCGCAATCTGTGACAATAACACCTCTATTCTTCTTTACAAATTGACCGGTTCATATTTACGCTAATCATACATTCTTATTCTAGATTTTATACGTTACCATTTATAACAAATTTCGAATTAAATTCAAAACCGTATATATAGTATATATAGTATATATTCATATATAGTATAAATTCAAAACCGTATATATAGTAAACGCTGTAAGATTATAATTACAAGCCTATTATTGACAGCAACAGTTCTGACAGTTCTGACTTACCGACATCTCAGAACTCGATAGTTAATATCAGATGTCTATTTGTTAAATCTCTAAAATTATTCATGAAACTAAATTCTTCATTCTATTCTAAACTAATCTATCTATCTTGTTCTTCAAACTGAAACTAAACTCTCAAGGAAAGAAACAAAATTCGTCATGCCGTTAAATGACATCTCAGTCATTTACAAGAAAGTATTATAAATAAATTAGAATTTTTCCATAAATTAGAAAAATATTACACAATGAAGAAATCCTAAATGACCAAGCCAGCAAGTAACTTAAAGCAATTAACTTTATGTACTTAGCTTAACACGTATAATATATCATTAATTGATAAATTTATCCTCATAATGAGGTTGATCGGTCTTTATATTTCACCTACCTGCTACCTGCGAAAAACACTCTCACACTCTGTGATGTCTTTTTATTTTTCAGGTCTCGAGAAATACAGGGATCCTGTCACACTTCGTCAATCTAAATATAGTAATACCAGAGGCGTTTATATTAGGGAGCGATGAGCATCATGTCGACGTAGGATCTATCATAAACCTCGTATGCATAATAGAAAAGGTAAGATGTAGCGCACATGCAGCACTCCGAGGTCGTTTACTTTATACTAGCACGAGCGGACCCGTTAATGAATGTAAATAAGAGAAATTTCGCGATAAACGCACACACGCAGTTTTCTTCTGATCTCCTTTCCACCTATGCCTTATAATGTAAAGATTTATTACATTATATATTGTATACAGTATGTATGCACACTATGTAGATATTAATGAGTATTGATCGTCTCGCGAATGCACACGCGCATTCGATCATAACCACGCGCGAAAAATCATATTTACATGTTTAACGTGTTTATACGGGATGATCGCGGTGAATGCGCGAAATTTCATTTTATTTGCTATATCTTAAGCGTGTGCTTTTATCTACTGAACAATATTGAGCAATCGCTCCGACATTTAGTGAGTATTAATATCGCATCTCAAAAAATGGATCGCTTCGCATATTCAACTATAAAAAAATTTTTTGAGCGAAGAAGAACCGTAGAATAACAATTGTCGATTATATCAGCGATTGTTTTTGTGGGAGAATCATAATATTGACAAGAAACGTCAATATTGCAGTGTAAGCACTTCTCCCTGCTGCGTCAAGTATTTCTTAAGTGTCGACTCCCGTCTGAGGCAAGATTTCTCGTAACATGTACAAAACATCAAATCAATTTTCATAGGAGGGACGAGGTTAATTTATATTATTAACATTTCCAGACACAAAGACTGGTTGGTTTATGAGACCGATTTTTAAATAACAGAAACGGAATGTATTGATGCATTTTTAGCATAAACTTTGGTTTCTAGTTGAAGTGCTCGTGTGCGATAACATTTGTAGTTTCGGAAAAGCTCCGATTTTTATCTCGACCCAACAAACACCCGAAGAATTAATTTGCTCGTGGGAGGAAGCACGATTTACACATATAATGCACACATTTATACACGAGCGCTGATCCAGCAGTCACGCTGCGCGGAAGCTACGACGCGGATTTTTAAGTTCATCATAAATAAAATCGCGGTATGCGAAGCGTGTCCCTCGGGACATTTGTTTGCGCATGGGATTAATTATCATCAGGCTGCATTAATACCGACCAAGCTTCGTCGACTCGCTCTCTCATAAGCTCTGTCATAGCCGTGCCATGTTAACAAGAGTAATTCATGCGTGGTCTATACGGTCGCGCGCTATATGGTGTTTCTGTCGTTCCATTGCTGCTGTCGTCGTCGTCATCGTCGTCATCGTCGTCGTCGCCATCGTCGTCGTCGTCGTCGTCGTCGTCGTCGTCGTCGTCGTCGTTGTTGTCGTAACATTTGACCTACATATCGCCGCGGGATTATTAGCGTTTCTGGGAATTCGCGCGGATATTTATTGCCGCGTTGCGCCGCGCTACGCCGCACTTTCGTTCGGCGAATATCGCGGCACTCCTCGTCCGAGGCGCAGACGTTCGCTCAGGGCGGTGTGTTCCTATTCGCAATATTTCAGTTATTTTATCGGATTCTACCGCTTGTCTGCGGATTCCGCAATATGCGAGAGCTCGGCGGGGGCCGCTGATTTCTGCCCTTATTCGATATTCGCACTCGCGCACGCGGCCACGGCGACGCGAAGAAATCGTGAAACCCGATGACGTTGATTCTGTTTTAATTGGTAAGCCCTCCATATACACAGAGATACTCATTAATTAAACTGATAAATTAAAAGCGCCGCGCCGCGCTGCAATGCAGCTGGAAATTAATTAAATTCGTATTTCGCCTAACCTTTCGGCCGCGGCGACCATGCTCGATTCCCAATTAACAAGGCGGCGCCGCGAGTCACTTTATTTTTTCATACCGCTTTACAGCTCGTTCGTAGTATATTCGCATCGACGACGCGGACGCGGAGCGAGTTCTTTTCCGAAAGCATCTGGCGCTCCAATGTTACTGCCTCCTTTAGCGCGTCCTATATTTCGATGGCTTTGTCCTATCGACAGAATCTCCGAGATCAAAGTTGCTTAATTCTGCGATTGTAATCCCCGAGAACGCTACGAATCCGTATTCACCGACGAGCAGCGTAGAAATTTATTAATGGTTCCCTCACTCGCGTTGCTCAGTCCAAGCTGTCTCGCTAGAAATGTGAGCATTCTTTCCGAGTGAGTTCCTATCCACTCATTTCACAAAGAAGTATCATCCTCGCGATTTAAATAAAAGAGAAATGAACCGATTATATACATTATACCAGCAAGGTTTAATATGCTCTGAATCTGTTTTAGCAACGAAGAAACATGAAAGTAGGGAAATGCATGTCGACGACGGAACGTCGTCGAATCTTTGCACTGGTTCGGTGGAACATGGAAAGAATTCGCATTATACATTGCAAAACGCGACAGTACACCTCGTTCGCGAGATTTTTATTCGTTGCATAAAAACCAGTCTCATTATCGTCTCCTATATGCAACGATGTTATAGATGCTGTTACTTTCAGGAAAAGAAGTAGGAAGCGTCGAAAAAGGATGAAGAAAGAATAGGGAAGAAGGGAAAGGAGAGAGAGAGAGAGAGAGAGAGAGAGAGAGAAAGAGAGAGAGAGAGAGAAGGAGAAAAAAGCGTACACACAAAGAAAACGTGCAGCGCCATAAAGCGCCGCTTTTGCAATAATTGACGAGCGAGCGTAGTTACTGTTAATTAAACTGATAAATTAAAAATGTCACGGTATGGAGTAGCTGAAAATTGATCGCATGCAAATTCGCTCGCTCGCTTGCGCGCGTGTGAGGCACGTACGTAAATGCATATCCACACGCATTGTCCGCATGCAACCGCCTGCGCGAGTTTTTTACAGTTCACGCGAACGTATCGGTCGAACCGTATCGAGTTTACGAAACGCGAGCTTGCAAAAATACGCCTGTGCAAAAAGTAAAGTGCATCGCGAAGTTCTCGGCGTTGCCGTGGCGAGCGAGAGAGCGGGCAGGCAGGCGAAACGCGCGTCGAAACGCCGTTGGCTAAATAAGGGCGAGTAAAATGTGGGCGGTTTAACTTTGGCAAGTACAAGCGGGTCGGCTTAACTTCGAAACGCAACCGCGTTTGTAATCTTACTTCGGCACGCGACCGCAGCAGTTAACTCTCCTCTCGCGTTGAGCACGGTTATCGTTGGACGGGACGGCCGAACGAACGGTTAGTCGATGAAACAACCGCTTTCGGAAAAAGTGTATGACGTTGTATGCGAATCGTGATGATAATAGCATTGACACACCTTGCTCTTCGCCTTGCCGCAAGATTTTCACCGGCCGCCGATAACGGCGACGAGATTTGTAATATTCAGATCGCGTCGCCAATTGTATGTCGATTAAAGTTACGCGCATCTCATTCGTCCGTCCGTTCGTTCATTACGGTAACCGCTAATATAATTCACGCTTCATTGGGTGATACATAATTCATGCCGGTGTAATCTAGAATTACAGAATACCGAGCGCGGAATAGCTGCGTCACAGCCGCTAAACAATTTCGATATAAAAGTAAACGGAATTAATGAGCGACAAAGATAAAGCGGCCCGACGTGTTTTCCCTCTTTGTCTCGCTCGTCGTGAATCGGGAGGATTTTTTCCCGCAAATTTCGGACCCCTCTGATCTCGCGTACGTCGTTTGCATTTTTAAGAATACAAATTACACATAAACTGCAATATCTCGACGCATATTTTTTAATGAAATAAGATTGCCGTGAAATATAGCGAAGCATCACGCGACCGCGAGCAAAACAATTTCTGTGGCAAGAAACCGACGCACTTGACGTAGGCTTCGTTTATTAAAAGAAAAGAGAAGGAAAGCTGAGAAGGAGGAAAAGCGAAAGGGAGGATGTAGAGGTATAGTCGATACTACACGTCGATATCAAATTGATGATACGTTATTAGGTTCATAAGAAAATTAGATATATCGCGTTTAGCGCTAGGCAAAAGGAGATAGCATTCGATGTCATCGTTTAATCCCATGCATGTAACAGCTTTACATCATTGGTTTTATTATATAATTGCCGCATCCCAAAAGAACGACAGAGAAATAGGAAAAGGGTGGGGGGGGAGAGAGAGAGAGAGAGAGGGGTGGGGGGAAGAGAGAGAGAGAGGGAGAGAGGGAGAGAGGGAGAGGGTTAGGTGAACTATCGATCGACACAGGCGCGCTTACGTTGGTGGCGTCCGAGCTTAAAGAGGAAATTTTGGAATTGTTACCGTGGATAAAGTTTTGAACTTTAAAGCAAGAGATAAAACTCACCCTCATCCCCGCGTATTAGGAAGGAAGAGATTTTATTGGACCGCCGAGTATAGCGTGGATAAAAGTCGCTATGGATAAGAAACAAGCATCTCATCCAGAGCCTTCTTTAAAAAACGTAACGAACATTCCATTTTCTTTTTTCATTCTTGCGTGTATGTACGTAATATATAAATTTCGAGTATAAGATATATTTCACACTTGTAACTCTCTCGTGAAATAAACAAAATTTCAAGAAACAAAATCTGCCGTCGATGTCTTGGTTTTAGAGCATCGAGTGTTGCTCGCGTATATTGTATTATATAATATATAATACATTCGTGCGCACAAACATAAAATTATAAATATGTTTAAACGCGTAGATGACATCTCGTTCAATCAAATCGCACGAATATTATATTCTCGGAACATACTATACGAAATTTTATCAATTAGCGATAGAATTCGTATCTCATCGTTATTGCGATCCAAGCGTAATCAAAATAGCGATCGCGTATGGTCTAAAAATAGTCTACAAATTTGACATAAATAACTGGGAAAAATGAAAATAAAAACTCTTTGATATTTCTGATATTTCATACCTGCAACTGTTACGCGCGCGTTCGAATAACTAAATATTATACGTAACGACTATGTGTATATGCAGCTAAGCGTTAGCTTTCAAGTGCGCGTTTAAGATACCGACTTTAGCTTGTATTACGTGCTCTTGCTTTCATTCGACGACGGTAACGCAATTATCCGTTACGTACCGTTCCGAAAAGAGGAAACCGGACATGTGTGCCTGTTTTGTGC